ACGGAGATGCTGGAAGGCCAAGGCTGTTTTTCCGGGTGATTACACCGCTGCTTTCTCCCTCGCCTCCTCCCTTGCTCCAATCAGGTTCGGGGGAGAGAGGGGGTTTTCAGAGTGAGAAGCAACCCACCCATCAGAGAGCCCGTCTTGCAGACCACGGCGCTTGCAAAGGGGCAGGCCGCAGCCTGACTTTCTGCGCAAAGAAAGCATGAAAGACTCCGGGCTCGTTAAGGTGTTTTCATTTGGTTAAACGGTCGTCGCTTCCGGCATTTGGTGGTTTGCTATAAAAGCTCGCTTCGGGATGCGGGTCGGACTCCAGAAGACTTGTATAACCTGGGGCAGATGTTCAGTGCCTTCGGAAATAGGAAACAATCGATGGGGAACACGAGAGGATTTCCGAAAACACACACGCACACACAGGCCTCCATCTTCATTGTTCAGAAAGGACCTATAAAGCACAGGTTACTGCCCGAATGCAGGTCCTGCAAGGAGGGCTGCCTACGGAGAAGGGCATTTCTAATCCACCCCCCGTGCCCCGTTTTCTCTAGGGAATCTGCCAGAGGGAAATAATCTCTGTGGTTCCGTATGCCCCATCAAGGCACCGGGGTATGGTGGGGGTGCAGGCGGGCGCTTTGACGCCCACATTGCGGAGCTCTACTGCGGAGGGAGCCAAGGAGTACTCCAGTACTCCCGAAAACGGGACCGTGGGGGGTCGAGCACTTTTGCTGGGCTTTGCTAAAGATCCCCTCATGCAGTGAGCCCGGAGTGGGAGCTCCGTTCTGCCTCCGAGCAGCCCAAAGTCGGCGTTTTAGCCGCGCTTCGGAATGCAAGGGCCTGTTTTTCTGGGTGGCTGTCGACGGAGAAGTTTCCTTCGAAATGAAAGAAAGGATGAGCTCGAAAGCGGGAATAGTACTTGCAATTTCTTTAGGATTTACCATGGCGAGGGGGAGGAGGAAGCGGTAGAAGGAAAGGTCACACAACAGCCAAGGGAGTTTTAGAGGAGGGTCGCAGAAGCTCGTTCTCTGAGATGGGCGCAGCCGAGGGAGATGCGCGGAAGAGGCGGCCGGTCGCCGAGAGAAAGGACGAAGCTGAGCTTTCTCCTTGCCTGCATGTGCCTGCATGTGAGAGAGGAGCAGAGAAACTCTACAGCAAGCAACGCCGACCTGGCGGCCTCCAGAGGCGAGGGGCTGCAATTCCCATCCTGCCGGGGGTGATGGGCACTGTAGTGACCCAGAGATCCGAGGGCACCAGGCTGGGACAGGGAGGCGGCCCTTCGGCTTCCAGAGGGGAACGATTGGTCTTGCTGCTTGAACGCCCCGGGCTAGAGGGCTGGAAGGCCACCTCGGAGAAAGCGGGTCCCAGTCCAGGCGCCTGCTCCTCCTGGCTGCGCGGGGCTGGGTCGTCCCGGGAGCCCGCGTGACCTCGCCTCGCCTCCGGGCGGCTGCAGGGTGGATGCTGCTGTGGGTGGCTGGGTGGGTGAACCTCTGGGTGGAGCTCGAGCCCAGAGGAACCAGATCAAGGCGGGCGAAGCCTGCGGGCTGTTGTCTCTCCGGTCTGTGTCCCTCTCGCAGGCCCTTGTGGCTCAGCCCTGGAGCCATTCGGCACCCACAGGAATGCGTCTCCTCTCGGCTCACCGCCTCCCCCTTCTCCCGCCCCCTGCGGCCGCCCCAGCGTCACTAGGAAGCGGCGGCGAGGAGCGGGGGAGCAGGGAAGCACGCTTCTTAAGAGCCTGAGTCTACCCAGCACCGCTGATTATATCTTTGTGTTAGTGAAGGCGCGATGGGGCGATCCCACCCCCACCCAGGAAAAACACTGTCTCCATCCCGGCTCCTAGCAAAGCTTCCTCAGCAATACATAATTTAAAATACATCAGGGTTCAGCGCCCTATATTTCCTGTACGCTCATAGGAACAATAAGCTACGAGGGTTAGCTTTGAAGACTCGGTCAGACAAGGCAGATTTCGGCAACTGGGAAAATTGCGTTTCTTCCAGGCAATCCCCGTGCTCACGCAAGGATGGCATTGTGGAGGAGAGGAAAGCATAAGGGCTAGCGCCCTTCTTAGACGGGGGTGGAGGAGGAGCGGAAATCAGGTCCTAGAGAAAGAAAGAGCCGTAGGTATTGACACCGACCAGCAAAGTGCCCTGTGGTTTCACTGGAGGAGCTGCTGCCCTGAATCACAAACTAAGCATTCCCAGACAAACAAAATAGGAAGCGTCAAGGTCAAGGTGGACCAGAAACTCCCCCACAAAAGGGGGATTTTCATTGCACTATAAAAATCGTTGCACCCTACTCGGGGGGCACGTAGGCATTCCCGGCTCTCCCTGGCTCAGATTCGATACAATGCAATGGTGCGAAGCACAAACCCAGAGCAGAGGCGCTTTCCTAGAAGAATTTCCACTGGGAGACAGAAAGAAAAAAATGGCAAGCCATCCGAAGTGTCCCTGTAATGGAGCGGAGGCCACAGAATAGGTCGGGGCTGAACAGAGTTACAAAGAAGGGAATCCCCTGAAGCTTAACAGAAGCTGCTGAAGACGTACCTGTTCTGCTAAATACCCACAGGAGCAACACAAAGAGTGTTGCATGAGAAAGTGAACAATGCACACTGAAGGAGACAGCTCTCCCCCTCTCCCTCTCCCTGTGTGTGTGTGTGTGTGTGTGTGTGTGTGAGAGAGAGAGAGAGAGAGAGAGAGAGAGAGAGAGAGAGAGAGAGAGAGAACAATAGCGTAAGGCGTCTTCCCGCCTTCACACGCACAAACCAGGAAAATTCCAAAAAGCAAAGATCGTGTTCTATTTTTAGACATTAAAATCATCATTACCAAACACTATTCTCCGAAACCTGCTAGAAAACAACCAGGGTTAGTTCCTCTTAATTAGAAAGAAAGGAAGGACGGAAGGAAGCAAGCAAGCAAGGAGAGGGAGGGAATGAAGAGCAAGAGATTAGCCGACAGGTACATTTGCTGCAGGCTATAAAGCGTGCCTTTTCAGGTTTTGCCTCCAAATCCTGAGACGTCTCTTACTGAACTCCTCAGATGACAGAATGTAATTTTATGGTATTTTAATTGCCCCCCGAAATCCTCTGTTAAAAATAAAAAGCCCCACCATCAAACCAGAAACACAAACCAGCCCTGTGGCACACGCTTTGCTGCTGGTTTACTGCAACAGTTACGGCACAAGAAGAGTGCAAAGGTGGCCGAAATGGAAAGGCCGTGCCCACGCCCCATCCCTCCGCCCCACATAAAGACTTTGCTTGCATTTGGAACCCTGCTGAAATCTGCTCTGGCAAAAGGAGCTGGCTGAACCCACAAGCGCTTAAAGAAAGGCGAATACATTCGAGCAAGCGAAAGGGAGAGGTTTCTTTGTATTTGGCCCATAGAAAAACTAGCATCTTCCTTCGATGGATTCCAGCGCATTTTGCACCCTGCGCCTGCCCCAGGACACCGGCAACTGGGACACCGTTTGCACACGGCCTCACGTGAACCCCCTCGCTTCCACTTTCCCCACACCTGCTGCCCCCCTCCCCCACAGTCATCCAGGATTGGATTTAGGTCTTGGTGCTGTTTGGAACGGTGGTGGGAGAGAAGAAGTATTTCAAGACAGAGGAGGAAAAGACCACTACTGCCTCTCCTGTGTTTAGCAAAAGATGTTTAATTCTTTTTAAATTAAATGTTTATTAGCTATGTTTAATGAAAAGGCCAGCTTGCTAGATAGCCTTCGTTCCCAACTCAGCAGAACAAGAAGCAAAAGATCACCTAACCTGCCACCCCGTTTCTAGAGGTCTGCCCTGTTTGGGAAGCTCCTTTTTGAGGAAATGTCCTTTGTCTAATTAGCTGCAGGGACCCTGGATTCTTTTGGTTAATTGCTTTTATCGTGGGGTTTGCATGGGGAGGCACAGGGAGATTTCTCTGCTTTCACTCAGGCATAGATTTTGCCTGCTTGCTTTTTCCTCCATGTTTTGTGCCCCCCCCCCCTTTTAGGTCAAGTGAATCGTCACCAGAAAAGGTGTTACCAAGAAGAACAAACTGCTTTTAGCTGGAAAGGATGCTTTGAAAAGAAGCAGCCCTCTCATCTTTAACAACCCCCCCCCCTTTTCTCACATCTGTACAATTCCTTAGCACTTCCGACAGGCTTTCTCAGTCTACCTGCAAACTTCTGCAGGGAAGACCAGCACATCTGAAATCTTGCCCAAATGTGTGTGTAAGACTTACACCTCTAAATAAGTAGTGTTGCTGTGGTAATTTTAGAAGCAACTTAATTGTCACGGGGAACCCCCTCTTTAGATTGTAAAGGGCATAATTACATCACTTACTTCAGAATCAGGCAAATCAGCTCAGTTGCATTTGGGGGGCCCTCCTGCTCAGTCTGCTGAGTGGGGCCCTGTGCATGCACCCCCAAATCCTTCCCTGATGGCACCACTGAAAATAACACTTTGAAAAGGAGCAAGGGCAGGAAGGAGAAGAAGCAGCTGTTGCAATTCCCATTTGACCAACTGGAGAGGGAACCTTTTAGAAATATTTCTGTTTTTGCTTTTTCTTTTCCTTTTCTCATGGTGGAAATAATTTTATTTATTCAGAATATACAGTTTAACTCCTCTATCTACACGTATGTACAGGGTTAAAATGACACTGAAAAAAAGTCTCTGGAAAAAAGCTGAGGTCATACGATTTCAAGGCACCTTTGAAAGTGTCCACAGCTGGGGGTGGAGGCGTAACAACCTGAAAAACAACAATAACCCCAAAGTCCGTTTGTTTTGTTTTGGTTTAAAAAAAGAAAAGGAAAAAAAGAAAAGAAAAAGGGATTTCCTTTGAAATGCAATAAGTTACATGCACAAGGCTTTACATATTTCATCCTGTATAGTTTCCTTTCCCTTAAAAATAAAAAATTTAAAAGCAACCAAAAAGTCCCCCATATGCATTTTTCTCCTTTAGGGGCAAAAATGCCAAAGTCCAAAAAAAGGGGCAGGGGCAGACGGAACGCTCTGTTCTGCTTTAAACATCAACCCTAATCTAGTAGATTGTCCCAGAAGCCAGAGCTAAGGGGTGCTGTAGCGAACCGGGCTGCAAGTGGCCCCCGAGGGCGCTCCCGCCGGAGTACCAGGAAGAGGAGTTCTCCAGGTAAGGGGAGGCAGACGACGGGTTGGAAGTTGCCCCGTGAGCATGAGGATGGTGGCTGAGTGACCTGGAGGGGCCCTGCGGTTCCCACACCGCGGGAGACTGCGGAGAATTGCACGCCATCGGGTCGCTCGCACTGGGGCTGTGTTCCGGGGGCATCTCGCCGTTTTTCATGATCTTCTTGATCTTGGATCTTTTGTTCTGAAACCAGATTTTCACCTAAGTGGAGGAGAAGGAGGAGAAAGATGGTGATCCAACTGGACGATAAGAAGAACTTCATAAACCGGCTGTACACAAGCAAAAGATTAAAGTTAAAAAAAATGCATTGCCTCTTGAAGCACCTTGATTTGGAAGCGAATAAATTGGCCTGCTATATAACATGCGTGTAAAATTAAATCCCATTGCATTCAACCAGGCTGACTATCAGGAATTTCTGAAGTAAGCGGGTTTAGGATATCAACTGGGCAACAGCCAGGTGCGCGCCTAGTGGAGGAAACCCTTCGTAAAGCATTGGCAGTGAGTTAACGTCTGGAGGCGACACATTGGTCGAACCTCATGATTCAACCACGAGTCATGTGCAAGCAAAGCCACCTGTGGTTGAAAAGGTTTACTCCCAAGTAAAGGATTCCAGTGGAAATAATCAAGAGGGGTTTTTTCCCCCCTGAATAAGGCTTCACCTTAAATGCATGAGTACGACTCATGCTGGGGCAGAAAAATGGCCCAAAACTGCCCGCGTTGCTGTCTGGGGAATGAATGCAGAGAGCTGCGGGAAGCCTTCCGGCTCCAACGTGCATAGCTTTGCGCCTTTAACCTCGGAGCAAGCTCCAGCGAACACAATCCGAGCCATCCAGAGCGGACCTGTATCGGATTGCGGGGTCAATGTGTTTCTGGGGACATGGAAAATAAGCTCCAAGGATTAACAGGAGCAGCTTTTAAAGGAGCACCGAACCCGCAAACACGGGAGTCCCAGGAATCCCTCCCATCCACAGTTGCCATTTTGCTATATGGGCCGCCAGATGTCAGAGGGGGCAGAGTCGGGCCCCGATCCGGCTCCCACACAGCCGCCCCCAGTTCTGTCGCTGTCAGCACGTGAGGCTCGACTGATCCACCCCGAGGCGGTTTCCGAGGAGGGAGAGAGCCCAGGTGGAACAAAGGCACCACCCGGGGGCCCGGCGCAGTTCGCCACCCGCGCCCCTCTCCGCGGGAAGGAGCGCCCCGCGGCTGCGCGCGCGGCTCTGGGCTTCGGCTTCGTGCTCCCTGTCTCAGGCACCAAGTGCAGCCCCGAGGCCACGGCCCGGCGCAAGCCCCCGGCCGGCACCCCCCCCCCCCGGGCCCCCCCCGGGCCCCCCCCCCCAAAAAACCCCCCGGCCCCCCCCCCCCCCCCCCGGAGCCCAGCCGGAGCCCGCCAGCTCAAAATACCGAAGATCCGCCACGCGCAGCCGCTCGCCCTCCCCCGCCTTTTGTGCCACGAGCCCCGAAGGGCCTTCCGAAGGCGGGCCGAGCGCGGCGCCCGGCCCCCGGGAGACGCGCGCAGCGAGGGCGCCGCGCGGGGCCCGGCGCTTTTCCATCCGCGGCGAGGCCGACTGGGAGCACCCCGCCCAGCGCGGCCCCTCCGCCGTCTCCCTCCCAGGGAGATCTGTTTGGTTTCAGCGGAGATTCCTTTGAAATCGTAAGCCAGTTTTCCCCGGGAAGTTAAATTCCTGTGCAAGCCGGCCGAGGGGAGCGCTAAATTGGGCGTGGGGCCCAAAATATAACCCCCTCCGTCGTGGGCTCTTTTGATTTCAGGAAACACAAAAGAGGAAATAAAGAGTGTGATTTCTAAAAGAATCAGAGAAATCAGCCAGCCGCTTTAGGAGCAGAATTAGGCCCCTGGGTTCGGGTGGACAGAGAAGGATCCGCGGACATTTCTAATCCCGCGCTTAGAGGACGCCCAGGCTGCCCTGCACTTTGCCCAGGCAGCTGACGGCTCCCAGGCCGCGGCCTTACCTGTGTCTGTGTCAGGCCTAAAGACGCGGCCAGCTCGGCTCTCTCGGGTAGGGCTAAATACTGGGTTTTCTGGAACCTCCTCTGTAAGGCCGCCAACTGAAAACTGGAGTAAATAGTCCTTGGTTTGCGAACTTTCTTTGGTTTGCCGTTCACCATCCTCACCTCCGGCTCAGCCACTTCTTTTTCTGAATAATTTGGAGGGGAGGGGAAGGAAAGGAGAAAATAAGCTTGGAACGGGAGGTAGATCCCAACCCCAAATACAGTCAACCCCAGACAAGGTGGATAGGCCAGGATCTAACCCGCTGACCCCGACGGAGCAGCAAGCTAGTTTACAAACAAACGCGCGATGTTTGGTCTGCAGAGACCCTGGAAAATGAGAAGGGGGAGGAGGCGGCGAGAACTGACACGGCAGCAAGAGTTTTCCTGTCAATTTCTTCCCGAAGGCGGGAAGCTGTTGGCGGTTGAGAATTTAAGCATCATCCAGTTCGCCACCGAAATATGATTGTGCATTTGGTTCCAAAGGGTTATTGATTCGGGGGATCGTTTTAGTGCAAGAGAGACACGGCTGTGGGGACGGAGCTAAGCTTTTTCCTGCAGCCTTTGAATAATTAAAAGCAACCACCGAGTTCCCCGTGTTCCCGCCTTCCGTCCACGTCTGTGGAACTCTCCTCCATTCAGAAAGACACTCTCTTTCTACCCGTCACCTTCCTCTTCCTCTCTCTCTCCCCCGCTTTCCCTCCCCTTTCTTTTCCTTTTTATTGGGGTTTCATGAATTCAGCGCAGCCAGGTGAAACGCACTTCTGGAGGCTAGGGAGTTCAGATCGGCCGCTCCACATCGCCACAAGAAAACGGTTCCCCTCCATTTAAGCCGAACGTACCCAAATCCAGCGCAGACAGTGAGCCGATTATACAGAATAATCTCGCCGCCGATCGGGTAGGGGGGAGGGGGAGCGGGAGGGGAAGGGGAAGGGGAGGGGGAGGGGAGGAGCAGGCGGCGGGGGGGGGGCGAAAGGGAAAGGGCGGCGTAGCTGTTTCTAGTTGCTTTTACCAATACTTAAGGTGCGTTTCCCTAGCTTTCGCGGAGTGACAAACAACCCATTTCAAGAAATAAACAGTGTGAAGGAGCCGTGTTGTGAAGGGAGGCGAGAGAAAGCAAAAATATCCGTGTCTTTGTGTATAGCACACACGGGCTATCGCACAGCTCAGTCTGCAAAATCGGAGCGTAAAAAACAAAAGCGGGTCAAGCCGCCCCGAGAGGCAGCCTTCGACCAATGCTCCGGATCGGCTTGGATTGGCGACAAGAGGGTGTCACAAAAGCGAGGTGAACGTCGGAAGGGAGGGCTGAGCGGCCTCTGCACAGCCCCGGCTTTTCCCGAGAGAAGCCGCGAGGAAGCGCTTGTATGGGTTGAGTCCCTCGCCGAGCGCAGGAGCTCATTTTAACACAGTTCTCCAGGCGAGGGGTGTGCGTTGCGGGGCGGGGGGTGAAGGAGAAAGAGAAGGCATGAAATCCAACCCGGTTCTCCTCCCCCGCCGCCCCCCCCGCCGCCGCTCGGCCTGTCCTTCGGTGGTGAATTAGCAAGCAGCCAGACATTTTCCAGGGCTTTGCTTTGCAATTATGGCTTCGGATGCGCGCGCGCGTAGCTTTGGCTAGTACCTCTCCTCTCGCCCTGGTATTTACTGTGGATTGTTGTTGCTGCAGCACCAGCAACAGAGACACCCCTTTCCACATTTCTGATGTGTTGTTGCCTTCCAGTCCGGAGCTGGGGACAACAAAGAATCCGGATCAAATTCTTCCCCCGTTCTCCTTCTTTCCCTCTTTGAATTCGCCGGGGAACGAGGCTCCGCGGCGCCAGAAGCGGGACGTCCTTCGCCTCCCACAGCTCCGGGCTGAATTCAGAAGTGCGCGGAGGGGGGGGGGATAAGCGCGCACTCGAGAGGGGACCGGGCTAAGGTCTGGTGGAGGGTTGGAAGTCCGTCCCCGCTCCAAGGATCCCTGGCGATCCGCGACGTCCCTAGGTGAGCCCCACGACGCGCTTGCGGGCAGGGCGGCGCGCCGCGCGGGGCGCCACGAAGGCTGCCCGCGTGCCCCATCCCTGCGGGGGCCCGCCGCCTCCGCCTCGCCCTCGCCCTCGCCCTCGCCCTCGCCCTGCCCTGCCCTGCCCTGCCGCCCCTCACCTGGCTGGCTGGCGGCGCTCGGCGCTCGGCTGTAAGCCCCGCTGTACTGGTGGTAAGGGCTGGCGTAGCCGTAGTCGGCGTAGGCTTTGGCGGGGTAGCTGGCGGCCGTCCCGTTCATGCCCTGGTACTGGTACTGGTACGGGTGCAGCGCCTTGCCGTAGGACGCCGACGAGGGCGAGCAGTAGCCGTGCGGCGCCCCTCCGGGAGAGCTGTAGTAGTCGGGGTCCGTGGCCGAGGACTCGGGCAGGGTGGGCGACTCCTGGGGCGGGTGGTGCATGGCGGCCGCGGCTGCCGTCGCCTGAAAAGGTGCCTGGAAATCGCCGGATCGGATGGCTGGCACTCTTCTGTCAAACACCCCTGTCATACTTGGAAGGCGGGCGGCGGGCGGGCGGGCGGCTCGGTCTTCTAGGCAGCCATGGCCGGGGGGAGGGAGCGAGGGAGGAGGAGGAGGAGGAAGAGGAGGCGGCGGCGGCGGCGGCGGCGGCTGGGAGCTCGCTGGGGCTGGTTATGGCTCTGGCAGACTGCTAGCAGGGAGCGTAGAGGCTTGGTTAAATCCTTAATTGCGCTCTTACGCACAGCGGGGTGGATCGGGTTCCATTGGCCGAGCAATCAGGAGCAGCGACACCCTAACTCGTCCAACTAGTTTAGCACAACAAAGCTCTCCGAGTTCCTCTCCCTCTCTCTCTCTTTTAAAGTTTCATTCACGCTTCCTAAAAAAGAGGAGAAGGAAAGAGAGAAAGAAAAGGAGAGGGAAACGACAGGCACCATTATCTCGGGGTTCTCTTTCCTCGGGCCAGAGGGGGCGGGCAGGGGGTAAGAGACGTCCTTTTGCGGGGGGGGGGGGGGCGGGCGGGCAAGGTTTCTGTGCAGTGCACAGACGGCGATGATCATAAATACATGGCACTCGAGAGGCGCGGGGGGCTTTCTCCACCAAAGTGTGAACGCTCCCCCCACTCCCGTGCTTCTAGATCAGCACTCGCTTCCCGTTGGACGCCAGGCGCTCCTCGGTTCTCCGAGAACCGGAGTCCATCGCTTAGGGGGTTCCTGGGTGATTGTTAAAAGTGGATTCCTCAATGGGTTAAAAGAAAAAAGGCAAATGGCATTCTTCCAGGAATGCAGATGGGACGTTTGGATGTAGAACGGAGACGGCCCTGAATTCCACCTCTCCACCCCCACCCGGCCACGGCTAGCCTTAGACAGGACTCTCACCCTCAGTTTTCCCATATGCAAAATGGGGATAATCGCGGGATGAAATAGATTGAGGATTCCTTACACGATTATTCGGGATTCGGCTTCACTGGAGTCTTTCACACACTCCAGATTTCGATCAGAATCCAGAATTATCTCTCTAAAAGCAGAAGAACTGTTTCGACATAAACATCAAGATCCCAGTACTGAAATTAGCCTCGTCGTGCGCATCCAATGCTCATTGGCGTGACTACGCTTCAGTGGGACTTTTTCGGGGTGTCTTTTTTCGGTCTCTCCCCCCCTCCCCATGCATCAACCCCAGAACGCTGACTAACAGCGCGTGTGTTTCGCAGACCCACCGAGCGCAGCGTGGGTGCTGTGTTATTTCTCGAGTACGGAAAGAAGTGGCGAGGTGGAGAGAAGACATCCAGTGACTCCCATATATAAAGCGGCCCCCCTCGTTCTGCCATGTAATTGCCAATTTGGATACACCGATCCCAGCTTGCGACATCTTCCAAAGCGCCCCCCACCCAAAAGAAGTGGGCCAGGCAACTCGTCGGTGTATTTCCATAATCATCGTTCATTCGTGATGCCCTGCAGAACTGCTGATCAGTGCAAGAGCAGATCGTGCCTGCAAGGACAGGCGTGCGTGCTTGTGCGCGGTGGCAGTGGGAACACGAAGAACAGGCGTTTTGTCGCTTTCTTCCTCCAAATTCTTGGTTCCCATGGCTGCCATTCACCTGCCCTCATGGTCTTGCATTTTCTCGCCGAATCTTCTGCTGTACACCTCCTCCTCCTGCCTAACTAAGCCTCCACCAGCCTGGCGCCGCCCAGGTGCGTCGGACGACAACTCCCATCATCCCCAACCAAGACCGCTTCTGATCATCTCGGTCTTCCTGCTTGCAAACAGTCTCCCCGAGGAAGCCCATGCCTCTGTCAGGATCGGGATGCCAGGCTCAGGTTGCGATCGTGCCTTGAGCACTCACTCGGGTGGCGGGGTGGCGGGACGGGCTTGCCAATAACCTCCCCCCACCCACCCGCGGTCCTTTCAGCAACCTCTGCCCTAAAGAAGAGGGTGTCTAACGAGGCCGAGTGGCTGAAAATATTATGGTTCTAAGAATAAACAAACAAATAAGCAACGCTACACGAACTGACGGCGCTTCTTTTGTCCAGCTCCAATGCTTCCCTTAGCCCCACCATCCACGGCTTCTAGGGTGGGCCGAGGGAATAAGCTAGTAATGGCGGAGTTCCTATGCCTCGGGCAAACCATTCCAAGGCTGTTTTTCAGTGGCCTGCAGCGCAGATTTTTCTCCCGTCTGTTTACTCTCCAGATTTAGACTGTTTGCTCTCCGAAGATCTCGGAAGCAGCTGGGTTAAACTCGCTCTCGGCGCCTCGGCCGTGCGAACTGGAAAGCGGGGTGGTTTATTCCGGGAATGTCCACCCCAGCGCGTTGGGCCCATCTGTCACCTTTGATGGCTAGGAATCACTTCCCTAAACCCACGGCCTGCACACGCACACGCAGGCGAGCAGACAAGAGCGCGGCTCCGCGCAAATCCCCGCGCAACCGCGACCTGCAGACGGTGCAGCGGGGCCCGCGCACGAAGGGCTGGAGCCCGGGAAGTGGTCCTGACTCAGGCGCCCACTGTACCCCCTCGCCGTGGGGAAGGGGAGCTTTTCACCGGGGCGGGGGCAAAAGATCGCTCGAGGAAGGCGCTGACGCCAGGTCTTTTAGCAGGCCTGTTGCAGAAGAGAGCAGCGAGCGGACCGACGGGGCATCCCGTGGCCTGCCCAGAACTGAGGCGGCCTCTGGCATCTCTGGACCGGGCGTGCTGAACTCAGGCTCTCGGCTTCTTGCCCCCATCCCCATCCCCGCCGTGCCCGCTCGGCATTCGGGGGCTCGGCACGTCCCTCCCACTGCGGCCGCGACGAGTCCCGGTCACGTCGGGCGGGCCGCGCTGCACGGAGTTAGAGAGCGGCCCGTTCTCCGCGCGAGAAGAGGAGTGACTCTGGATCGCAGTGGTGGCAAGGAGGACTTCGACGGGAGCAGCTCCGGGGGCAGTGCCTGTGACGCCGTTAAGGGGAATTCAGGGCTGAAAGGTGTATCGGTCGGGATCTGTGCGAGACAAAGTCCGACCTGATGTGTATTGAAAATTAAGGGCCAAAAGCGCGGCCTTCTTTCGGAATAATAGTAATCATGATGATAGCAGCAGCAGCAAATATTTATGATGGCGCTGCTTGATTTGACACGTGTAACGCACCCTGTTCCTTCCCCACCCAGCCCCAACCCGATTTCTGGACTCTCTCGTTTGCTTTGCTCCGTGGTTTATATTTGGCACATCCGGAGCGGAGAGTCCAGGGAGCTCTCAGTAAGGAAGCTGGAGCCGGTTTGCTCTTGCACAATCTGCTCATTGTTTAGGGCTCGGGGATCCGAGGCGCGGGGGGGGGGCAGTGGGGGGCCGCTGGCTGAAGTGGTCACGGCAGGAGCCTGCGGCGGCGGCACACTGGCCTGGAAAGGCATTCAAAGAAACCCCAAGTGGTGTTCTGCTGAGTTGGTACTTTGCCTTGCTGGAGCAGCGGCCCCTTTGCTGCAAACAGGGATCCTGCCTAGGCCAGAAAGGAACCTCGGTGCCATCCCAGCGGCGTGACACGTAGGAAGAATGGGGGGCATTCTTTTTCTCTTTCTTTCTCAAATCCCACTGATTTTCAGCATCGGCCTCGCGGCTCCAGGGGGAGGCTTCACCAAGTCTTTACTAAGAGCGCCATCTTGTGGCCCAGAGGCCCCATTGCTTCGGGCTGGCGTCGAAGAAGGGCAGAAGTCCAGGGCTAAAGGAAGCCCCAGTAAGGGAGCTGATTCTGCGCCTGCGGGTGGCTTGATTAGGCACCCCTTGCAGAGACAGAGACAAAAACACACGGAAGGTCCGGAAGGGCCTTTCTTGTGACGCCTCTCTCAGTAAGGTTTTTATTTGAAATTAAGAAGCAAAACTGCAGTCTACTTCTGAAATAATACCAGGGCGGTGAGAGCATTAGAGTAGGACCCAGAGATCAGGCCTCTATCCAGGGCCAGCCCTACCATTAGGTAGGGTGTGGCAACTCCCTCAGGCAGCAGATGCTGGGAGGCATCAGCACGGGGCTTGAAGAGAAAGCTGTGTGCATTGCAGGCCCCTGAATTTAGCCTGCTCCCTTCAGCTTCAGTGGAAGACAGTCCTTTGTCATTACTGTTGGTTAGATTCCTTTGCCTGTCCAGAAGGATTTTGCCTATGGAATGGGATGGGGACCCTATCTTGACCTTTGACGCAGGCACCACTCGGTCTTGGGCTGGCCCTGGTTCTAGTCACCACTTGGCCCTGAAACTCATTTGGTGACTTTGGTGCAGTCACCAACCCACACTCTAACCTACCTCACAGGGCTCTTGTGAAGATAAAATGGAGAGAAGGAGGAGAATTATGTGAGCTTCTATGTGGGGGTGGGGAGCTCTAAATATAATTAGTGAGTAAACATCATCCTGAATCACAAGTTGGAATTAAGATTGCCCGGAGAAATATCAACAACCTCAGATATGCAGATGATACCACTCTCATGGCAGAAAGTGAAGAGGAACTAAAGAGTCTCTTGATGCGGGTGAAAGAGGAGAGTGCAAAAGTTGGCTTGAAACTCAACATCAAGAAAACTAAGATCATGGCATCTGGTCCTCTCACTTCCGGGCAAATAGATGGGGAAGAAATGGAGGTAGTGACAGATCTTATTTTCTTGGGCTCCAAGATCACTGCAGACGGTGACTGCAGCCAAGAAATTAAAAGACGCTTGCTCCTTGGGAGGAAAGCTATGGCAAATCTAGACAGCATACTAAAAAGCAGAGACATCACCCTGCTGACAAAAGTGCGTATAGTCAAGGCTATGGTTTTCCCAGTTGCAATGTATGGCTGTGAGAGCTGGATCATAAGGAAGGCTGAGCGCTGAAGAATTGAGGCCTTTGAATTGTGGTGCTGGAGGAGACTCCTGCGAGTCCCTTGGACCACAAGGCAATCAAACTGGTCAGTCCTAGAGGAGATCAACCCTGACTGCTCTTTAGAAGGCCAGATCCTAA